GCTACTTGGGAGGCTGAGGCAGGAGACTCGCTTGAGCCCAGGAGTTGGAGGTTGCTGTGAGCTGTGATGCCATAGCACTCTACCCAGGGGGATAACTTGAGGCTCCGTCTAAAAAAAAAACAAAAATAACCCGATTTTCCCTCTTGCTATGTACTCTGTCATTCACCAAGAGCCCCAAGCAACAGGGCCTGCAAGGCAAGGCTCTGAGATCACAGGCAGAACAGAACCCAAACTCCCAGGGCTATCAACATGCTCCCCGAGTGATGAATAAGCAGTGGAGTGTCGGCTGAGAGTCAATCCCTGTCTGGAAGACAGGGGGTGCAGGGAATTGTCTGCTTCCTGGATTGCAACCTGGAAGGATATAGCTGAAGAGAGAAAATAGTGAATGGAAAGCTTCTTTTGTGAGAAAGGGACATTCAAGTGCATCCTAACAATTGTTTTCCAAGTCCACTTTCTTTTAAGCAGTTGTCTAGACATTTTTAAGACCAAATGTTCAAAATGGACACACTCCTATATGATACAGGCAGGGATGAGCCAGAGGGGCCCACAAGTTGAGACAGGTCTTCCTGTCTCTCTGACAAGCAGCGGGCTCAGACGTGTTCATGCCACATGTTGGGTCCAGATATAAAGGCACACAGTCTGCTCAGGAACCTTTCAGGCCACTGTCTGATTTGAGAGCAAACACCAACACTGCACATGCCGTGTGCCAGGTGCTTTTCTGATCACTTTGCATATACTAACCCATCTAATCCTTATAGGAGACTATGGGATTGCTGCAATTATTCTCCCCGTTTTGAATACGAGGCACAGAGAGGCACCCAGGGTCACACAGCAAGCAAGTGGCAGACCTGGGACTGGAACCCGACAGCCCACGTTCCTTCTCACTGCGCCATGCTGTTCACTGACATAAGTGAAAGTTCCTTTGTGCAGGTTCAAATGGCCCAACAGATCAGTGTTCCTTTGGTCATCTGGGAAGAGGCAGCTTGAGCATGTGGAATTGCTCCTCTTGATTTGGTTACATGGAAAAGCTGGATCACCGAGAACTGATCCAGCCTCCACACCAGCAAGGCAAGGCAACCACACCCCAGGGTAGGAGTCCAAACATCACTCCTAACACGCTCCATCAGGACCCCAACCTGGGCAAACTAACTCTTCATCCTTTGGGTGTTGCCCAACAATTAAAACCAGTTCCTGTATTATATAAAGAGCTGGAAATGTCCAGGTCAGAACAGGGACCTGTTCCTTCACAGGCCCCAGAGTCCGGAAACAAGGCTTCTAGTGTGAGTGCAGGCTGATCCTGTTATTAGAGGCTTTCAGATTCCCTAGTTGGGCTGGAATATGTGCCATTGAAAACAAGATTATATGAAAGTGGGCTGGGTGTGGTGGTGGCCCCGAGGCCAGGGCAGCTGTTCTCTCACAGGGACCTCCCCAGGGCTTTTGTGGCCTGAGGCACTCTTCCTTGCTATTCTGCTTGGCACCTGGATGACAGCAGATGCTCAGGTGAGGCCTGTCCACCCAGTTGTCCCGATAAAGGTAACGTCTTGGAGGTAGGTGGCAAACCTGTACACTTTTTGGGAGAGCCCTGCTTGTGTGGACTGGGAAGCCCCTAAGCTGTCTGATGCTCCCCAGTTGCAACCTGGTGGCCACAGAAGGGTCAGCGACATAAGCTCTGCAGCAGCGTCACCCCCCTGAGTGCCTGTCCTGCCTTGGGGGTTCATGTCCATGAAAGGAGCAAGAAAAAGGATCCCTCCAGTCATCCACCAGCCACCCCCGGGACAGCAATAGCTCCATCGGTAAGTGCCACTTCGAAACGCAAGAAAGGAACGAGTAACTGCAGAACTGCTGGATCCCATAGAAACACTGTATTCAGTTTTGAGGACTGTGCTATGTTTTAAGGCAAGTGTCACACATACAACACGGTCAGAGATGAACAGCATTTGATCAATATTTATGACAACATGTTAGAATAGGAGACATTTCCAGACAATGAGCAGAGAGATTTTCTCCGGTCGGTTACCCCTGGTGTCCTGGCCCTCTGTGGACTGAAGACCAGCAGAGACAGGGCACCTTCTCTCACTTCTTGCCCCAGGGGGAGGGTGACCTGACCGTTACACAGAAGCAGCCGCTTCTAGACTGGGGCACTCTAGGCTAGGATATGGGCGGAAGCAATGAGTCTTACTGTCTAGTTCTAATTTCTATGCTTTGTGAAAATCATCTTTAGAAATAGGAAAATCGGCTCGGTGCCTATAGCTCAAGCAACTAGGGCACCAGCTACATATACCAGAGCTGGCAGGTTTGAATCCAGCCTGGGCCTGCCAAACAAAGACAACTAAAACCCAAAAATAGCCGGGCATTGTGGCAGGCACCTGTAGACCCAGCTACTTGGGAGGCTGAAGCAAGAGAATCCCTTAAGCCCAGGAGTTGGAGGTTGCTGTGAGCTGTGACACCATGGCACTCTACCCAGAGCTTGAGGCTCTATCTCAAAAAAAAAAGAAAAAAAAAGAAAGAAATGGGAATATCATGATACCAAAAAAAGACATACAACTTGTAGTTAAAAATTCTCCGCTATCCAAATGAAAACTTGCTTACATTGGACCTAAAATTATGTATACACAAAACACACATGTGTGCGTATACACACATGTATATATATAGGTATACACACATGTGTACATGGACATAAAAGAGATTTCCTGAAGCCTGGAAAATAGTGAATAGCTGTTTGCAGTTTGGAATCAAATGATGTGATTGTTTCCCTTTTGGGAACAGGAGGGAATTAGCAACAAGCTCCAGCCAGAGGGTGAAAGTTTCCAGGCACCTCTGCTCACTCCTGGTCACCCCTGACTTTGCGGGGAGACTGGAGTGGCTAAGCTGGTGTAAGGAGAGCTGGGTCTTTCTACTGCTGGCTCAACTCTGTGCCCTGCAGTTCTTCCCCACCCTTCCACATAGGCATATGGCCCCAATTTTAAAACGAGGAGGTGCTTGATGGTCTCTGCCCCACCGCCCAGTCATCTCAATGGTGTGCACATAGAAAGGTATGTAGCCCTGTCCTTGGGGGTCCACGGCAATGGGGAAAGTGAGGGAATGAATGAGGCCAGAAGCTGAAGACTTTAATGGCCTGGGTCAGGAGTCACCTCGAAGTCAGGCACCTAGAAATGTGGTGGGGGGTGGGTAGCTGGTTCATTCAAACTTGAAGGACATTGGGAACAGGAGACACTGATGCTAATGTAACTACAAAGACAACAAGTGGTGTGACGGAAGTATCAACGCAGGCGGAGAGCACTGCCCTGCTCCCAGACACTGTGTTCACTCGGAGGCGCCTCCGTGGGGCAAGCTGTCACTTGGTAAAAGATAAGAGCCTGCAGCGTCAGCACTATATACTTTAGAAGAAAAACGGTGGTGTCACAGATTTAAGCTTGCCTCACCAAATCCCTCTGAGGTAGGTAAGAGGCAGGCAGTGTTAGCCCCATTTTACAAACGGGGTAAAGCAAGGCCCAGGACCTGCTGTGGGTCACACCCGGAGACGGAGCAGCCACAGTCCAAGAGCAGGCGCTGAGGTGTTCCCTCTCACGGGCTACACGCTGACTTCCCTCGGAAAGTCGACCTGGAGTCGACCCGAGTTGGCGGGTAACTGGAAGGGTGTGAACTGTTTCACTGATCATTTCAGACTCAGATGTACTGGCAGGAAAGGGATCTTTATCTGTGGAAGTCAGCCAAAGCCAGGGGACTCGGGAACCCAGGAACAGGGGTACCCCACCCCAGTTAGTACCTGGGTATATTTGGTGGGGGTGTTGTTTTGTTTTTGCTATAACACAGTGTTTTAGGGAGGGTCTAGCCAAATTAAAACAATAGATCAATAAACGAACAAAGGTCCTGAATGTGATGACATCACACCTCTCCAGAGAAGGAGGCCCCACTCTGGCCCGTTCCACGTCAGAGTGAGTGGAGATGAAGCTGCAGTGTTGTCAGAGGCCCAGGCCTTGGGAGCAGAAAGGCCTTAGGGTTGGGGTGGGAAGAGGGACCTTTGTGTGTGTGCCCTGTCCTGTCCTGACTAGGGAACGCACATGCACACACACATACACCGCAGGCTGCCTTTATTCCTTTGTTTGACCCTAGAATTTAGATTGTTGACTTAAGGCTACTGACCAGCAATCCCAGCAGTATAATTACCTACCCAGAATATTTCTAACTTGACACTGTGCAGTGCCTTTGGTCTTCCAGCATCTAGCAAGTCAGAAGCCCACACACCTCGCTGTAGCACAAACTCTTTAACCACCTGAGTTCTAGTCAGCAAATTCCAGGCACAGCTAGGAATCTGGGAATTTTCTAATTTCTATGACTCGAGGCAATGTAACAGATGACAGTAAATCCCCAGGCTTGCCCAGAAAGCACCCGCTATAGATCTGACGGGGAGGGAGTAATGAAGAATACATCTGCATTTTTCAAGCCTTAGCTGCAGGACCCCAAGAAGCCTGTTATTTCCCAAGCCTGGCAGGTCAAGGGGTATTTCCAAGCAGAGCCCTGGTGTACACACAATTGCACCTGGACGTGGATCAAGCCAAATGGCAGAGTGTCCTGGTCCTTGGTAACCCGTTCCCAGTGGGGAGCCCAATGCAAGTGCCAAGAGGTAATCCTCAGACTAGGGATGGGCCAAATCATCGCTCAGGAGGCTAAGAGTCGGCGAGGGCATGCCTTGTGTCCATGTCCCACATCCGTGCCACCAGGGCAGGGTGCCACTGCTGGCAGATGAACCTAGAGCCCAACCCCATCACAGAACCGATTCCTTTGATTCCAGTTCTGTGGCACTGGCCACAGGGACAGCGGGGTTCTGGTGTGTCACCAAGGGTGACGTCTCCTCCTCAGACTTGTAGTTCGGGATGGCTTCCACTTTGACTTCACTCAGTTCCTGCTCCCCTTTCTTCATTGCCTTCTGATTCAGGTGGTGGAGAATGCCTGCGCCCAGGGCATCCCCTTCCACATTCACCACTGTGGTGGTCCGGTCCCTGGTGGGGAAAGAAGGCAGATGTCACATCCAGCTTGGATAGGAGCTGCCGGGGAGCAGCCCTGTCACGAGCAGCTGGAACACCATGGAAAAGTCGTGACTGTGCACACTTCCAAGGACAGAAGACTTTACTTTAAATTGAATTTCTTCGAATGTTTTTTATTCTTACAAAAGTAATAGACCTTCATTGCAGAGAACGTGGAGGAAAGCGAAGTCCACAGAAGCGGACAAGTCACTCACCCATAGTCCACAACTCTGAATTGGCACCAACATTCTGATCTTTTTCACACATACTTTGCATGTAATAGATGCCATCATATAAAACTTACATAACTGGGATAACAGTGTGGGTACAGTTTGGGGTCTAGCTTTTCTTTCACAGAGCGTTACACTGTGGGAGTCCCCCTTCTTTTTCTCATTTCAACACTGTCACTTCTGACTGTCAATCCTCATATGTGTTCCATGGTTGTTAGCAACCACCACCTCAGAGAAAAATAGCGCTGTCCTTCCCAGAAGCTTACTTGTCTCGCCATAGATCAGCCCAGTAACCACCCCCACTCAATCCTTGAAGCTCAGAGGCAGTATTATTCCTATTTTGAAGCAGGGGAAAACGTGATCTTCCCTAAAGGCAGTGGAGAGCTGAGGACCCTGCAGAGGGCAGTCTGGCTACAGAAGCAGAGGCTGTGGTGGCTGGGGGCCTTTGGGTCTGCACTGGGCAGTCAGCTGGGTACCCCTTCTCTGCACAGGAGGCAGCTGGGTAAGGAGGAGACAGGGTGCTGGCTAGCTCAGGGATGGACTTCCCTCTGATGAGGTGTCGGGACAACACAAGTGTCTGCTGCACACTCACCCTATTGCCCGCGGGAACTGCCCTTCCCAACCACAATGGGCAGGTCTGTGAGCCCTGGGCCAGGACCTCTCATGCCTGGCTGCGACTAGCTGGGCCAGGAGTGTCTTCCTTCTCTACCGTTTACTAAATGCTTCACTACAAGCTCAGTGTTCTGGTGCTATGCCTGTGCCCGCTCACTTAACCTCCACCACAACCCTGTGCGGTTTCTGTTAGCATCCCTATTTTATAGTTGAGCAGACCAAAGCACAGCATGTATCCATTACATAGTGAAGCTGGGATTTGAACTCTGGCACCTGGGTCGCCCGGCTCATTTTCTTAACCACATGCTCTGCTGTCTCAACATCCGCACCTCAGCGGACCTTCCCTATAAAACAGGTATTATAATATTTCACATTGGGCTCAGCTCTCGTAGCTCAGTGGTGACAGCGCCAGCCACATACACCGAGGGTGGTGGGTTTGAACCCAGCCTGGGCCAGCTAAACAACAATGGCAACTGCAACAAAAAATAGCCAAGCGTTGTGGTGGGTGCCTGTAGTCCCAGCTACTTGGGAGGTAGAGGCAAGAGAATCTCTTAAGCCCACGATTTTGAGGTTGCTGTGAGCTTGACACCACGGCATTCTACCAAGGGTGACATAGTGAGACTCTGTCCCTCCCCCAAAAGAAAAAAATAATAATATTTCACATCAGCCAAAGGTATCATGCAAGCCAAGGAATCAATCCCCAGAAACTGTTTTCTGTCTTCATAGGAGACCTGGAGAAGGTGGTCTGAATCATATTTATTTCCCTAACTCTTCCTAGGCTGAGCCTGAGCCCAAGCCACTCATATAAGCATGGTTCTCTGCCTTCACAGAAAGGCCAGAGACAATCATTTCTGAAGGACCACTGCTCCAATAGCTTATTCTATGCCACCAATAGCCTCATAGATACTTGGACCTCCCGACCTGCACTGAGGGCTTTGGCTTTCGATCCTCACTTTGCTGGACACTATTGGCAAGTTCCTGGCAATCATGGTTATTCGTGCATGTTGACAGCCATTTGACTCTCATATTATTTAATTTTTCCTAGCCCTAAATCTTGCCTTGACAGCTCAAATACAGGCTCCTTTCTAAGGCAAGGAGTGTGCGTTAAGTTCCTCTGCTTGCCCCAGACCCAGCAGCATCAAGCTCCAGGAACTCTATATAGACTTTTCTTGGTATCCCTAGGACTTGCTACTTACACAATCCAGTCCACGGCCAGGATCAGAGAGAGGTCGTGAGTGGGCAGCCCAATGGCCTCCAGGATGATGGCGATGGTGAGGACCCCTCCAGCTGGTACACCTGCTGCTCCAACGCTGGATGCTGTGGCCGTCACCCTAGGGGACAGGAAAGCAGGGCAGCTACTAACACAGAGGAGAGAGTGGGTGCAGAGAAATGCAGACAGTGGCAGCCAGGGCTTGGACACTGAAAACCACACCGTCACAGGTTCTGCTGTGAGAGGCAAGCCACTGCTGTTAAGTAATGAGTCTCTACTGTATTTTTTTTTTTTGCAAATGAGACACCAAGTCACAGCAAGATTGGTTTTTTTTTTTTTTTTGATACGGAGCCTCAAGCTATCCCCCTGGGTAGAGTGCCATGGCATCACA